AATGTGTGATGACACAAAGGAATTCGTTCGAAGATGCACAAGGTACCAGAAGCATGGAGGGATCACTGCTTGGGATACGATGCCACTGACATACAACCTGCAAGTCAAGCTATTTGATGTATGGGGCATCGACTTCATTGGACCTTTCCCAAAGTCCTATGACTGCGAGTATATCCTGATGGCCGTTGACTATGTGTCGAAGTGGGTAGAAGGAATGCCATGCAGGGCCACAGAGGCCAAGCACGCCTGCCGGATGTTCCATGAGATTATCTTCCCTTGTTTTGGAACTCCGCGGATGGTGATAAGTGACGGAGGGTCTCATTTCATCGATAAGACCTTCCGAAACTTTTTGCAAGAACTTAGGGCTCAGCACAACATTCCCACTCCGTATCATCCCCAGACAAGTGAATAGGCATAAACAAGCAACCACAAGTAAAAAACCCCTATTGGTGTCGGTTCCCAACCGGCAATTGGTGCCGGTTTGCCAGCCGGCACCAATGACACTAGGTTATTGGTGCCGGTCATAGAACCGACACCTTTGTGCTCTACCGAATTCAAAAAAAAAAGGAAGTCGGCTCCAAGCCGAGCCGATGCACATCAATAATCCCTATTCAAGCATGCTTTCACAAATCACGAATCAAGCAGATGAACAACAATAATCCCAATTCAAGCAGTCCCAAATCCAATCCATCACCAATCACATATATGAACAACAATAATCTCCATTACAATTCACAAATCAATTCACAAAACATAATCTCCATCACAATTCACAAATCCATCACCAATAGTTCCCAACCATCACAGATGAAGAACACAAGCAAGATGCACAAACTCACTCGTCAATCCACCAAGGTCATCGCCGGGGTCCATCTCCACGCGAGGTTGTCGCCGCCGAGGTTCCTCTCCGCACGAGGTCGCCGCCGGCTGCTGGAGAGTGCACGAGGTCTCCACCAGCCGCCGGGTCCCTCTCCGTGCCAAGGTCGCCACACCCATCCCTCTCCGTGCTGAGGTCGCTACCGGTGGGGAGGCCGCCCGTTGCGGCCGACGTTGCTTGCCGGCTGGGAGAGGGAGGCGGAGGGGGAGGGGGAGGAGAGGATGGTGGATCGGAGGAGGAGGAGAGGCGGGAGGGGGCTAGAGGGGAGGGGGAGGTGAGGGCGCGGCGGAGGAGGGGGGCGAGGGGGAGGGCGCGGCGGAGGAGAGGGAGAGCGGGAGGGCGCGGCAGAAGAACAGAGGGGGCGAGGGGAAGGCGCGGTGGAGGTCTGGAGGAGAGCGCGTGGTCTGCGTGGATAAGGATAAGGATAGCGACGACGCACTGTCAGATCGATTGGCTCGGCTCGCCCAGGTCGGCTCGATTTGTATAGGTGCCGGTTTTATACAGAACCGGTACCTATAATATATTATAGGTGCCGGTTTTTTAATTAACCGACACCTATAATATCGGTTTTTTAAATAGAACCGGCACCTATAATATATTATAGGTACCGGTTCTGTATAAAACCGGCACCTATACAAATCGAGCCGACCTGGGCCGGTTCTATATTATAGGTGCCGGTTCTATTTAAAAAACCAATACCTATAGTATTGGTACCGATTTTAACTAATGAACCGGCACCTATACTTCGTAAAGGTGTCGGTTCTTTATTTTTTTCATCTTGCGGACGTGGGAAAGGGCCTATAGGTGTCGGTTTTAAATGAACCGGCACCTATAAGGCCGGTACCTATGAAGGTTTTTGTAGTAGTGAACAAACAGATCAAGAATATTCTGCAGAAGACTGTTAATGAGATGGGAAGGCATGGAAGAACAAGCTACCTGATGCACTTTGGGCATATAGGGCTGCTTATAAGACACCCTGGCATGTTAGCAACCAACTTGTCTACGGGAAGACTTCTCACCTTCCGGTAGAGTTGGAACACAGGGCGCACTGGGCTATCCGGACTTGGAACATGGACTTAAAGGGAGCCGATAGCACAGGAAGATGCAGCTCTCTGAGCTGAAGGAATGGAGGGACAAGGCCTACCACAATAATGCCAAGATCTATAAAGATATAACCAAAAGATGGCATGATAAGCGGATCAAGCACAAGGAGTTCAAGGCAGGGGACGAGGTGCTGTTGTTCAACTCACGGGTGAAGCTTTTCGGACATAGGAAACTTCAAAGTAAATGAATGGATCCATATACCGTCGTCGATGTTTCATCACATGGAGCCGTCACGCTGCGAGACGACGAAGGTAACATCTTTAATGTAAATGGCCATTGTTTAAAGTTTTCCAAGATCCGTTAGAAGTTGATCGTGACTTAGATATAATGAACCTAGTCGCTTTTAGCTTCTACCCGGAATCTTTTAGGCCTAATTTTATTTCATTCCTTAGCCCGTCGTATGTAACATTGAATATTCGCCGAGTGCAGATAACTCACGTCTTCTTTTTTTGCGTTGTTCAATGAAGATTCAAAATTGCCCAAAGCATGGCTATTTCATGGTTGGGTTCATATGGACCCCTATATAATTAATGAGATGACTGCATGGAACAGTGCAAGGGAAACAGTGGATAACATTTACAGATTCCTAGCGCAACAACGTTATAAGACACTAGTAATGTGCCCGTGCTAACGCTACGGTAATATTTTTTAATGATGGTATATGCATGAGAATGGGGGTAAGTTTACTGACTTCTTTTTATCAGGCATATTTTAGCAACATATACATCTCTCAAGAGTGAAGCATTCAGGTTAACCAAGGTAGGGAACTGCTGAATTTGTGTTGGATCACTACAAGAGAAATGTATATCTTTAAACCAAATGAAGAGCAGCTTTCTTTGTGCTTCACCTGAAACTGAAAATGTAAATTTGTTCATAGATCAGTGCCCCTGGGAATCTGTTACAGACTGTTAATGAAATGTATATGTCGTAATTTTAATTTAGTGCATCAGACTTCATGTGATTGGTCATTGGAGTGCTCACCTTCAGACGTCATGCAAAAGAAAGTTCCTGTAGAGATGCCACCGCCGCCGTTGTTGCTGGCGCCTGGCGATGTTGAGCTAGCCGGAGCTGTACACATCTCGTAGCTGCAGAAGCCAATGAGGAGGCAGTACACGATGGAGCAGAGCCTCAGGAAGGAGCCCACCGCGCCGACGACGATTGGACACGCCCCGTTACAAGCTCGTAGGCGCCGACGGTGAGGAAACTGTCGGTGTAAGGGCGGCGGCAGTGACGTGTCACATAACCTGTTGCTGAAGCCTGAAGACATCCGGGAAGACGCCGCATAGGGTCGGGAACCGGTCCCCGGCCGCCATGCCACCATCGCACGACCTACACCCCTGTGTCTTACGCCGAGACGTGGCCTTTCCCGACGGCGGGCTCCGTGAGCAGGTCTGGGCTGTTGTATACATGCCTGAGCTGGTCGGGACGGCGGGCCAGAAGAAGAGCGTCCAGAGGAATTGGCTGCTGCCACGGCGGACGCACAGTGGAGGTCCTGCTGCCACAACGGTGCAGGTCACGGAAAGGTTAAGAAAAATCACGAGATGATGGATCGGTGCGTTCTGATCAATCCGCTCATCTAGCAGCAAGAACAAAAAAAAGCAGGGGAAGTGTAGATAAAAGACCTAGCTACCACTACCACATAAAAATCAGAGAAGAGGAAGGTGGGAGCGGAAGCAATGGAACTACCTGCGGTGAAGTAGGGAGAAGACGGCGTCGGTGGTGACCGGTCGGCGTGGAAATCCGTCTGCGGCGCGTCGGAGACCTGCGGAGTAGGGAGACGGTGGGCGACGGTGGCGGGAGAGATCGGCGTCGGCGGCGACCTATCGACGGGAGGGTTTCCAACGGCGGGGATCGGTGGCAGCGCTGGTGGTGAGGGGAGGGAAAGGAGCGGAAGGGAAGGAGCGGCAGCGGGGCTGAGGGGCCGGTGGTGGCGCGAGTAGTGGGAGGGAAGACGCGGCGGCAGAGCGAGGAGGCGACGCAGGGAGGAGGGCGAAGGACGCGGCGTGGGGGAAGGAGGAGTGGGCGTGGGGAGGAGATCGATCGAGGGAAGAGCAATCGCGTGATGGGGAGGAGATTGACGCCGTTGGATATGGCCAATCGGATGGTTGAGATTACGCGTGTCTGTCATATATGTTTGTTGTATCAGGAATCAAGACCACCACTACGAACTTTTTAAGTAGTAGAGATTCATACTCTTTACATACAACACAAAGTGAGTTTTTACCGCCTTCTGTACTAATTTCTTTCTCGTATTCATACAATGATATGTTAATTGTTTCACGCAATATGCACATTCTAGAGCATGATCTATATCCTAGACTCTATGCAGAAACCCAGGGAAACTTTCAACTCAATCATTGAAATGATTAATAGGTAATGTCATCCATCCCATTGTCATTATGGTTGATTCTATTGCTACTATGTGCATCAAGCTTCATTAGTTGTAGTTTGGAACTGCAGGCATGATTCCATAAAAACGTCCGCGGGGAATTCAAGGAAAAACTGACTGTGAGGACGAACTTTCTGGTAGGTATATGGTCCAAATTTATATATATATCTCATTTATTCTATAATATAAATCTTACGTAAGTTTATTTCTCCCTTAGTGTTTACGATAGGAACATGGGAACAACTTGTGTTTGTGTCTGTGTGTGTGAGTGGTATAACCGGGACTAAAAAGGGTTGTCAACCTGTAGTAATGAGCCTTTCTCCAGCAGTGTCATTTGTGTCCAAGTGAGCGGCGGCCCGCGGTTTGGGTTTCGTTTTTTGGGCGAGGTCTTCGCCTCCCCCTAGGGTTTAATCTACAGTATTGTGTTGTACAGATGTGGGGGAGTAAGCTTTAGGCGAGTATGCTGCAATGTGACATTCCACAACTGCGGTTGCTCACGCGCATTTCACTGAGCAGGTTGGGGCGTACGATTTCGTTATTCACCCGGGGGAGTCAGGGAGAACTTCTTCTCAGAGCATTTTGTCCTTCTAGATGTTCTCAGAGCATGCATTGCATTGTATTCGCATGCAATTTGAAGAACAATGGAATATGCATGGATATTATACTGAGGAAGGACTAAACCTGTTTAATTTACAAATCGTGAGTAACATATGTAGCCTTATTAACACATGACCAGGGTAAATAGAATACTTGAAGGAATAGCTAAAACTCAAACCATGCATATAGCCGCAGTATGGAATGATGCATATCTTGAGAAACAACTAAAAAGTCTGAAACCCACACCATAATACTCCTTCCGTCCCAAAATATTTGACGTAGTTGACTTTTTTAAATATGCTGACCGTTCGTCTTATTAAAAAAAATATAAGTAATTATTAATTTTTTTCTATCATTTGATTTATTGTTAAATATATTTTTATGTATATATATATAGTTTTACATATTTCACAAAAGTTTTTGAATAAGATGAATGGTCAAATATATTTAAAAAAGTCAATGGCGTCAAATATTCGGAGGTACTACAGTAGCATTCCGTTGTGTCACGAAACTGTAGTATTCTTTGTAGCATTTAGGTACTACAAGTCTCTAGTCCTGCAAGTAGCAACAGACCACAATTAGCCCACATTACATTACCACGTGTCCCTCCAGACACAAAACCACGTTGTTTTGATCACGTTTCATGTAAAGCTTAAAATATTTTAATATCAGAACCGTTCAAATATTTTTATTTGATCTATGCAACTCCTATGGTCATAAATATATGATGTTTTGAAGTTTGAACGATATCTAGTCAAGCTTTTCAAATATTGACTATACCTATGAATTACAAAATACTTCATTTGAAAACATAAAAATTGTATGCATATTTCTAGCTCAAAAGGTACTTTCATAATCTGATCATAGCATAGAAACTGTATGCATATTTCTAGCTCAAAAGGTACGTCCATAATCTGATCATAAATATATTATACTTTATAAATTTATTATAATAAACAAATATGGTTAAGTGGGACATCAAAAATCATTAAAAATCAAACATATTATATATTGATCATTCTTATTTGCTCCTGTCAATCTCAAACTAATCTTAATTTGTCCATGTTGTCTCAATGACACACATATGGGCTCTAGACCCATGTATATATCATTCAGAGAAGAGAGAACGAGGGTCATATAAGAAATTGAATTGGATTCATGCCATTATAAATTTTCATGTTTTGAAATATACCATTAATATTTACCTATTTGAAGTCATGACATTATAACTTTATAAGTATTTGAAATATACCACTATATACCTTTCAACACACTTGACAAAAACTTTAGACCAAATTGCCCTCATCTTCTTTCTTTTCTTCTCCCAATCTCTCATGTTCATCTCTGCTGCCATGGATAGACCAAAGCCCATGCCTACCCACCCACTGTCCACTGATCTCCTCAGCCACGGTAAGTCTGCACCAACCACTCTTCCCATGCGAGCCGCTGCAACGCCAGCACTATGCCCATGCCTCGTCGCGCTTCACAGCGCCCACGCCGAGCCATGATACTGCCCCGATCCGGCCCTCAATGCCTGTTTATTTCCTTCTCACTGGGTTCGGAGGATGGCGTCAGAGTGAAGTTGGAGAGTGCCCTTGGCCAAGGTTCACCAGTAGAAAATGAGAGAGATGGGAAGGAAGAAGTCAAGCTGCCAGATGCAGAAGGGGAAGAAAGGGAGAAGAAGATGAACAGGAAAGCTGGGAGAAGAAAAAGAAAGAAGATAAGGGCAATTTGGTCTAAAGTTTTTGTTAAGTGTGTTGAAAGGGTATATAGTGGCATATTTCAAATACCTATAAAGTTATAATGGCATGACTTCAAATAGGTAAATATTAATGGTATATTTCAAAACAGAAGAATTTATAATGGCATGGATCCAATTAACCCAAGCTTTTAGGAGGGAAATCATATTTTATAAACTTGCATAATCACGTGTTTTGAGAAATATTTTGTATGGTATTATAATTCTAACGAGTTGTTTGAACATTTTTTCCGTCATTAGTTTTAAAAGTTGTGTTATGTAAAAAGTTTGATCAAATCTTGAAACTCTAACCTTAATTAAATAATATCTCAAATGCAGTTGAATTCACATAATATGTGCCAAATTTATAGTTTATTACCTCATGGTAGGGACAGCAGTCCTCAAAATATGACATTGTGAATTTCCCTCTATTGGAGACCTCGGTCTCATTGATGGAGCCAGTAGAATTTATCTGCTCCATGGGCACTGCATTAGTGCTTCCCAATCCTTCTTCATCAGCATCATCAGCTGTTGATTCCTTTCCAGCGACTGAATTATTCATAGTGGAATTCGCCAATTGAAATGCACTGCTTTCTGATTCCACCTCCGCAATCTGCTCCTGGTTGCCAGCATCATCATCAGGTGCAGATTTCTCCCGAGCAAGCTCCCCGTCCATCTGATCATCCAATCTGTCAGTGTCGTCAGGCAGGACAGTACTGTAACTGTTCTTCAGGAGCAAGATGCTGGGCCTGTTCGGATGCCTCCTGGCCTCTGCCTCCCACTCTCGCTTCGTGCCCTCGCTCACTCGAGAATCGAGTGCGACCTCCTTGAGACGCTGGAGGTGTCTGATCTGGATCCCGGAGAGGCCGCGCAGATGCTTGCAGAGCAGCTCGAGAGAGACGAGCTGAGGCAGTGCTCCCTCCTCGATCTTTGGCAGCAGGATGGGATTCTGACGATGCACCACGAGGAGCAGGTGTTGCAAGCTTCTGAACTCCCCGGCTCCTATGGCGAAATGCTCGATGTGATTCGCCACCAGCTTGAGGCGAAGAAGAAGAGGCAATCCGCCGATGGCTGATACGAGATCCCTGGTCAGGGTCGTCGTCGTCGACGAGAGGCAGAGCTCGTAGAGGTTCTTGAGCATGGAGATGAGCCCGTGCAGCCGGAACAGGTCGCCATGAAGCTTCAGCGAGGTGAGGTAGCTGCGGCATGGAGGCTTCAGGGAGTGCAGGAGCTTACTCTCTCCATGACATGACCTGATCAGCTGCTTCGAGCATTGCTCCATGTCGATTGACAGCGAGCGTGCGTCGGTCTCTTCAACCTTGGGTGCCTCGATGTAGCTCCTGATAGCGTCGGCGAGGTGATCCGTCGCCGTCGTCGAGACACTGTCGGATTCTTCTCCTCCGAACTCGCACCATATCTTGACCTTGATCAGCTTCCTCATGTGCCTCATCAGCTGCGGAAACGCTTGCTGGCTCTCGTCGGCGACGAAGCCGGCGAGCGTCTGGAGGTTGCTCTTCTTCGCGAGCTTCTCGAGCTCGTTGCTGATCACCACCGTCTTCTTCCCACGTTGATCTGGGAGGAGAAGCTTGAACTTTCCGACCAGGTGAGCTAGGCATGGCAGGCCGACGACTTGTAGTGGCAGCATTGTCACCTTGGTCTTGCTGAGATGGATCGTCTCCAAGAGTTTCAGCCTTCGGATATTGTCTGGCAGCATGGTGACATTGCTGCTCATCCCTATGCTTAGGTATCTTAGGTTCCAGAGCTTGCAGATGTCAGCGAGGTGATCGTCGCTCAGAGCAGTGGTGCACTGCTCGAGGTCAAGGACTCTGAGGAGCTTGCACTTTCGGAGGTTGGAGACGGCGTCGCCGCCATCTCCGAAGACGGTCAGCGAGCGGACGCAAGACAGGTCCGTCGTGCTCAGCGCCGCCGTCGTGGTGTTCCCGCCGCCGCCTTGGATGGAGAGGTGGCGGACTCTCTTGCGCCTCGGAGGAGCACGGGAGGAGAAGATGAAGCTCTCGGCGATGGACTTGTGCAGGACGAACTCGTGCACGATGCCGTGAGTCCTGCACCTCCTCGTGCGGTGGTCGTCGTCGTCGTCGTCGTCGGCAGGGTGGGCGACGATGATGCTCTGGTCGACGAACGACCTGAAGTGGCCGTCGGCGACGTCCACGTCGGTGCTGTTGCCAAGCACGTCCTCGCCGCCGCGCGCGTACCCTTCGGCCAGCCACCGCCGGACGAGCACGCTCCTCTTGAGGCGGCGGCCGTCGTTGGGGAAGACGGCCAGGTACAGCAGGCAGGTCCTGGCGGCGTAGTCAGGGAGGCCCGCGTAGCTGTCCATCAGAACCCGGCGGAGCCTCGCGAAGCTGTCGGCGGCGGCGGCCGTCCCGGCGAGCCTCGGGACGTTGCGCTCGTCGAGCAGGAGGGAGCCGAGGAGGTGGCACAGGTCGGCGCAGTGCCGCCCCGTGAGATTGCCCAGGCACCGCAGGTGGTTGGCGACGCTGACGAGGGCGAGCGGGAGGCCGTCGCACTTCGCCATAAGCGTCGCCGAGCCGTGCTCCAGCTCCGGCGGTCGCTGATCGCTGCCGCCGCCGAGGGCGAGCTCCTTGGCGTGCGCTTCTCCGAGAGTCTGCATCTTGTAGACGCAGCCATGGCGACGGATGCAGCATCCGCCGTTGGCTCCGGACTTGTAGGCCGTGCAACTGTTGGCGACCGAGAGGATGGCCGTCGTCACGATTACCCTGCTGCCTCTACCATTGTTCTCAAATATCGATTCTATGGCATTCCACTGCTCCATGCTGATGTCGTCAAGAACAATTAGATACCTAATTAAAGAGAGAAAATTAAAATGTGGTTAAACAAAAAAAATGGATAAGTTGCGCTCACGGTATACACGTGTGCAACGTATAACAACTTGCGAACGATTGAGGGTCAGTCATTAAATCAAAATAATTTGACGTAGCACTGCCACTATTGAGATCGAGTACTTCATGGGCCTCCGATGGATTAACCGTGGTTGAAAAACCAGTGACTTATGAACCGTGATAATCAAATGACGATTATTAAGGTGAACAGTTTAAAGGACAACATAAAGTCATACAGACATATAAAAAGAAGATTGAAGTCTATGAGAATCCTAAAATACTTCGGAGTGATAGAATTAGACTATGTGTTTGAAACTCATGTAAATGAAGATGAAGTGTTTTACGCATAACAATGTGGTATTAACGTACGATTAATTAAGTTTTAATTATTACAAACTTAGAAAATAGATTTATATGATATTTTAGAGCAACTTCCACATAGAATGTTTTCGCATGAAACACACCATTTAATATTTTGAAAAGCATGATATGAATATCAAAGTTTTCATCCAACTTTTGTTGGAGATTCGAACGCAGCCATATGTCCAGATTGCTAAAAATCTAGCAGATCAGTTCATTGAGGGACTATCGCAAAATGTGATAGGCAGTGCATCGAGTGAGATGGGTTTAAGACCCTTTTGAGTTACACAATAGTAGTAACCTATCGTATATGGTTAGAGATGGCGTGAATTAGGATGTTGAAATAAGCTATTGGGTAGCTAGGAGGAGAGGCTCATTTCTTTGATGTACTTCTCTCCTCATCTATATGGCAAGTTGGTGCATACCTTAATGTTTACCATAAAGTAGACATGTTGGCCTACATAACATTTTAGAAGGAACACACCTATATAAGTCTGACTGCGTCTGTGATATGGGCCCGGCGGTATCATGTTTAGAGGGAGGAGGCCGCCCCCAAACCCACGTGGCACTTCCCCAAGGAGGGTCCGGCCTGGGGTGGAGTGGCGGCTGCCCCCTCTTTGCTTAGGGGTCGGACCTGTTGTTGATTGTCGTTAGCGATCAGTTTTGACCGTCAATATTACCAAAATAGAGAAGAACTAGTTATACTTGCAATGCATATACATGTTAGAATAATAATATTCCACTAGTATCTGGTTCACTAACCTTTTACAGAGAATAACTATAAAGTGAAGGAGAATCGACATCAAATCAGACGATAAATCAATCGGACGATGTCGAGGATCGGACTTATGTATGAATGGGCCAAGAACTCAGAAATGACACGATGAATTTTGCCAAAATTCACAAGTCTGAAGTGAGCAACAGAAGAGGAGGCCGCCAGCCGAAATTGGGCTGGATTGGGTCGTCCCCTGGTTCGGCCGAACCCGCCGTGTAGCCGCTAGATGCAGGGTTGGCGATGGACGGTGTGGATTTCCTCCCTATGGCGGTTGGAGGGTATTACCGACCTTTCCAGCCACCATAACCGTCATTACCTGCCTATTTAAGGAGCTCACCTTCTCACTTCACTTACACACCTCAAGTTAGTTTAGTATTCTTAAGCTAGTGGAATAGGAATAGAGTAGAAATCGGAGTCCGGAAGCCTTCAGGAGAGTTCGGGTATGGCTCTAGTAGCTCTTCTCTTCTCCTTTGTAAGCTTTGTACTTTACTAGCCACTCAGTTGCGCTTCGCGCAACTCTAACTTATGGCATAACATGTCTATAGTAGTGGGCATGCAATCAATAGTCAGTTTGGTGAGTATACTACTGCCTCTATTGTAAAATAAATTGAGTCGGTTTGATTTATTATCTAAGTTTTTTAAGAGTGAGTTATTTTTTATGTTTGCAAAATTAATTGAATAATCCAAATTATCAAACACATATAAAAAATTCAATGGCGTCATATATTTAAAAGCGAAGATAATATTACCTATTTTCATATTTCTTGAGATGGACTACATTTAAGAAAAAAGGTAAATTAAAAATGAAAGGTTGTGATTGATGTACCTAACAAAGTAAATGAATAAATTAAATATTTTTTTATTGATCAAGGTAAAATTGATGGGGTATTGTAGCCTTAGAGCAACAACAATCTATATAGCAAAAGTAGTCCATATAGATGGGACCCACTTATATGAACTTTAACTATTGTAACATTCACAATGTATATAGATAGCAAATAGTATTAGGAGGAAAGAAGAGGTAGAGACAAATAATATATTTTATTCTCTATGGGCAGCCTATATGCTTATGGGTAGCTTTTATTATTTCTTTGCTATGGACTAGTTCCACAATGTTGCTAGGTGTCTGAAATAAATATTGTATTGCTTATGAACCACTTTTAGACTACATTGTGGATGCGCTCACATAACTGGAAGGACTATTAACCTTGAAAAAAATATTAACCTCACATGACTGAAAATATTTTTTACCTTGAAGGACTGGAAGGACTACAATATTTTTTACCTTGATAAAAAAATATTTTACCTTGAAAATTAAGGGTGAGGCTACATTCAATATTTTTTTCTTTATTTGATCAGTTAATCAATTAGCCGGACGTGGTGTTTTAAATACCCTAGACATGTGAGTTCTCAAAGATGGAGTATTTTTGACCTTTTGTCTAGAAGCCTCCAGATTGACCCAATGGATTATATTCTCATATATTGATCCAACGGTCCTTTTGTTTTACCAGTCTCATCCGATGGTGCTTGCAATTTCAGAGGACGTGGCTCATTCTTCTTTCAAGCAGCTTGCTGCTTTCACCTATCTAGATTTAGAATACTCTTCTTTATACATTTATGGTATTAAAATACTTTTCGAGTATATGGATGCCAATTTATATTATGTTCATGTTATATTGAATATACTGCTAGCTTATCTGGGAGATGCTTTGGTGCGGGTATAATGTTTGCTTATGCAATTACTCTATGTCATGACGATGATATCAATTAGAGTAGTATATGGTAGTTTAGGCGTGGTGCTTAGATCATTATTTGGGGTTATATGCTGCGGATGAGAGGTGGGCCGCTGATGGTGACAGCTCAGTACGGATATTCCTCCGCGCGTGTATATAGTTCTAAGTTAATTTCCTGGGGAAGGTATTCCTCTGTATTTAGCCCCGGTTGTATGGTCATGACGGGCTGTCGTAAGAAACTCGACAGTTAGGGGTGGCTTCACGAAGTACCAGGAGGGCATCGGATAGAGAATATTAGCTAGTATATCAGATAACTAGAATGTATATATACTATGTAAACTAGAAGTATAGGAGTAGATTCTCTTTCTCTTTTATTTCCACTTAGCTTAGATAATTTAGTATGAGAATGAGTAGCTTACTGCTTGTGTGTCACTCTACTCTTGGATTATCTTAACCCCTGCTTAGACTATGATTATTACAAGTAACATATAAATTATTAGTTAAGTTCTCTCTACCATGATCTTCTCATAGGATTAAATAAATACGATATCCTTGTAATACTCTCGGGTGAAATGCTACAACGGTATATCCGTGCGCTTGCGGATGAACTCTGTAACCATAATATACCAGGAGTATTTCTGCGCCATTGTTGGGAATTATATTTCTAGGAATATCGTTAAGAAATACCAACACCCGTTCCACCTGAGACTAGAGGGAGGAGGCTACCCCAGGCGCCACGTGGCCCTGCCCCGAGGGGGGATCGGGCCTGAGGTAGGGCGGCGGCTGCCCCCTCCTCGCTTGGGGGTCGGGACCGTCCTGACCGAGACTAGAGGGAGGAGGCTGCCCCAGGCGTCACATGGCCCCTCCCCCCCTCCCCCGAGGGTGTATCGGGCCCGAGGTAGGGCGGCGGCCGCTCCCTCCCGTGACTATGGGTCGGGCTCCCCCGAAACCCTCCGTGGGTCACCACACCACATGTGGTGGGTTAGGTGGCCAACTCCACACGCCCACCTACCTGCATTTATGGCGACCTGACCAGCTGTGCCACGCCGTATTTAATGCAGCGTGCAGTGCACTCAACCGGCCTGTGACCGGTTGATTGACCGATGGGACCCAGAGTGCCAGGAGCACTACCGCGTGTGTCAGGCGGCGTGCGTCCTGCCCTGTCCCATCAGCCATGATGATGAGAGGTCTTAGCCTCTCATCACAGCCGGAGACGGCTTGCCTAACCCGGTTAGGGTAGGGTTCCCGTTTCCCGGCGCAAGTGAGGATCCAAAAGTCCTAACTCATTAAATGTTGAATGACAGGTGCGTCCCTTCTGTTAGCTGGTTAAGATTCGGTGGACTCCATGTCATAGCAAGGCATGCAAGAGACTTACAAGGAAAGCAACAAGACATGCATTTTATGTGATTATCCTCCCTTAATAGGCTAGATGGGCCCATGTGGTAATCCCTTGAGATATAAAAGGAGGTCCAGGCCTAGTTAGGGAGAGGAGGAATCCCTTTCTCTGGGATGAGCCATTTTAGACTCTAGAGCAGCTTCTGCTCCTCATGATCAACACCTTCTACTCCAACAAGGAGATCTTATAATTTCTCACAAGATCAACCAAGCACAGAAGTAGGGTATTACGCTTCACAGCGGCCCGAAACTGTATAAATCCCTTTTGTTTCGTCTTCCTTGAGGGGTCCGATTCCCTCCACATCACACATTCCACTGAATCCTCGAATCTCACCCGCTGCCCCCGGCCGAACTAGCAAAGGGGGGCCTCACGGACCCCTAATCGAAGAGCTCACGCTCCGACAGCTAGTCACAGTCCATGAGATTTGGGTGATCTCTAGATACTTATGCAAAAGCCTAGTACGACTTATATGCTCCAAACAAATTAGGTGCTAACGACAGCCCAGTATCAGTTAAGTAATTGAGTAAAGACTGACAGTACAGGATTGATAATTCCCGTGGGCCCATTGTTCGGTTGTGGTCAAATATAGCTTCTTTTCTAGGTGAAAATTCAACTTAACAGTCTCCACCGAAACACTGGTATAACAAATAGGTGCAAAAATGACAATGTTTCCTATGAGCTCTGAAATTTTGTGGAGATTGTTAGAATTAAATGGGCTAGACCCTATGAGGAAAGGTGTAACCGACAGGTATGAATGGTCACGTTACTCTAGTAACGGACTAGAGAATAATGCGCTATCAATCTCGTAACGTTCCTCTCAGGTGTTCAATCTTATCCTCTGGGATAGACAGAAGATCCCCTCTTCTGATCAGCTTCCACTGGTTCTCCTCCTATGGTAGAATCCCCCCTCTTCTCTGTTCCTACACAGCTTCTATCAATCCCCGGTTCTAAGTTCCTGCGTGCACAGGTACTGAGAACGAGCAGGTCTCCGGAACTTCGTCCACTTAAGAACCTGCACGAGCAGGTATATCCTCTACGTCATGTTCTTCTTTCTCTACATCGACAACTCCGATCATGTCCACTACCTGCAATGGCCCCAACGGAAGAGGGAACGGTGGCAACCGAGGCAACAATAACAACAATGTCTCATCATTTGGATCCGGAGCGTTCTTCAGGTATGTCCTTCTCATCTTAGTATTAAACATGTTTTATATGCTATTATTGTTTTTAGATACTATTGTTTCTATTAGCATATTCATGTTTATCACCATGCTAGAATCATTCTCTATTGGGCATGTCATGTTTATGTTAAATTTCTAGATTAAAATTTGCGTATTATGACTAGATTTCCATCGGGAGAATTTACATTTTTTTCCATCCTCCCAATATATAACATAAATATTTTCATGTGTACGTCATTCTCCCAAATTTTCATGCCCATTTGCCACCCAAGCCCACATATGTCAGCCTCATCCTCCATTTGGAAAAATGGGATGTTGGACCGTGATGGATGAGGCTGACATGTAGGCCCAAATGGTAAATATGCATGAAAATTTGTGAGTTGTATCAGGGCATGAGTATTTTGGAAGGATGGTAAATACTAGTGTAAATTCTCTCGATTTGGAACATACGTACCGCTTGTTCTTGAGACGGTTTCGAAGATTCTCCTCGTGAGATTCGCTAACATCATATTCTCCGAGGCACACCTGCCGGACTATGTCGGCGAGAAGGTCGCCGACGTCCGTCCACCTGGACGCGTCGACCCATGCGCGCTCGCGGAACTGGCGGCCGGACCGACTGTACACCGCCCGTGCGAGGGTGGTCTTCCCCGATCCTCGGAACCCGACGATGGCGATCACCCGCAGCTGCTGCGGCCCGCCGCCGGCACCGGCCTCATCTAGCAGCTGGACGAGATGCTCGATAGGCTTCTCCATGCCCACCGGGTTCGGCTCCACGTGACCGCCGCGGGGAGCTGCCGCCGCCAGCGCCGGCGTGGCAGAGGAATGGCCACCGCCGCCGGCGGCGGCAGCGGCCTCGACGGCGTTCCTCAGGCGTTTGGTCTCATCTTCCAGGCGCGTCTTCAGCTTCCGGATCTCGGCGGCGAACCGGAGGCGGGTGCGGAGCGTGGCCACCCACCGCGCGGCGCGGCGGGGCCAGCTGGGCGCGCCGGCGCCGCCGTGGTCGTCGCGCGGCGCGACGCGGTGGAGGAAGCGCTCGATGGAGTCCTCCATGTCGTGCGTCAGCTCGCGCATGAGCTCGGTGTACGCCCTCAGCACGGCGGTCGGCCTCTCCGCCGCCGGCGATGACGACGACCGCCGGAGCTGGTCGTCCATGAACGCCGCGAGGAGGAGGAGGTCGTTCTGCATGGAGGCGCTCTCGTGGCTTAGGTCCCTGAGCATCTTGTACCTCGTGTCGAGCACCTCCAGGAGCTTCCCCACGACGCACTTGGTGAAGGCGGTCGCCGCCGATTGCTCCATCGCTGGAAGTGTGGAACGTACTACAACTGGTAAGCTATTTCTTACTAGCAGTACTATATAGCATATACTACTATGAAGTTTGTATTCCTTCGTTTCCCCAGTTATTGCACTGTTTTCTTTTTTACACTAAAAAGATTCCAACTTTATGAAAAAAAATAAGGTTTTTTTCCATTGTTCGAGAGCTTTATATATACCTACCCATATTGTTTGAAAGGTAAAAACATAAAACCGGTTTAACTAATTACATTATTAGAAGACAAGTCTATAATTAACAATAGCGAGACATTTTTAATCTAGGAGGAATAGAGAGCTATATATATTAATATATCTCAGAATGTTAGTTACAAGGTACTCGCTCCGTCGCAAAATATAACAATTTTTAGTAGGATGTGACATATACTAGTAGTATGAATCTGGATAGTCTGTTCAGATGCGTCCTATCCACTCAAAAAATTACTATATTTTAGGACGGAGAGAGTATATATATGTACACTACACCATGTAAGTAAGGTAGCAGGAGGTAAAAACAATACTGCCGACTTCTATTTATGTACACGAACGCTGCAAATAGATCGTTAAAAGTTTATCTCAGGTTGATTGAAACTTGTACTTACTGTTATGGCTAAGTAATATAGATCGAATATTATAATACATATAGTATACTTCATATATATAGAAATGAACGATGCTCTGGTGCTCTCTATCGATGGTATAATACTACCAATAGTATTAAGGGTAAATCAAAAATTTACTAATAAAGTGATTAGGGTAACATTGGCATTTATGTTTTTTCCCGGCTATATCAATATGTGGTCATCCATTACAATCCATTACACTGACATCGATCATATTCCATCGAAAGAGACAAAAAAGAAGGAAAAAAATGGTTTTTTCACTACTAAATGACGATTATACCCCTCCTATCACACCTGGAGTTTCCCCTTTTCCGTAGATTCTAATTCACCAATAAATTGACTATAGAAATTACTTTGGATAACTAGGAGAAAACCCTAATTAACAATGTATTTAATAATCGGAAATGTTAGGGAGATTTTTTTCGAATTCTCTTTGCTCCAAAATCATTAACAGGACTTAAAGCGGAATATTCAGAGCAACAGAATTGATGTTGTTAATTTAAATTATCAAGATTTGAATTAATAATAAATTTTCTCCTTGCCTTTGGTCGTGAATCATGCCTGATTCACTCCTCTCTTCGTCCGTGGTTTCGTTTTGCATGACGAGCCAAGTCCAATTTCGTTTCCGGTACCGTTTCCTTTCCTTTCCTTAAACGTCGTCGTTGCGTCGCCGGTACTCCATTCTCCCTCTTTATTGATGTGTTTTCCGCCGCAAACATCAATTCATCTATTTAATCTATTCAGTTGTTTCTCATCTAGCGTCGCCGTCGATCACGTGTGTTGCCGCCGGAACCGCCGCCGCCGCCGTCATCATCCCTCTCCGGGTTCCGTTCTCCGGTGAGGTTTTCTTCTCGTTTTAGGGTTAAGCTTTTTCGTGTGTCGCCGTGTCGTGTGTAGCCACTGCCATGCGCGCCGTTGCCCTAGTCACTGCTGAGCCGCAGCCGCCCAACCGCGCCGCCGTCGCCTTGCCCCTGCCACGCGCCGAGCCGCTGCTGCAGCCGTCGCTGCCGCCCCTGAGCCGAGCCGAGCCGCCACCACCTAGCCGTGCCGCTGCCGCGGTCCCGCGTCGTCGTTGTGGTTTTCTCGCTGCCCATACCTACCGGCCTATCGTTTGCTGTACCGAGTCGTTGCCGCTAATAGTGCTTAGTTGCCGCCTTTGCCACAGCCGTTCGTTAAGCCGCTAACCGTTCGTTCGCGTGTAGTGTTGTCAAAGTATTAGTTCGTTCAGTCGTTCTTTAGTTTATAGTCGTTTTGAGCCGCTGGTTCCATTCGCCGGTTCGGTTGACCGTTTGGATGGTCCCGGGTCACAAAGTATTGGCTTGTGGAGTCGCTAATTCGTGAGGCTTGCTTACCGGAGATATATTTCCATTGATCTATTTATCTTTGGGCAATAATACGTAATAAATGATTAAGGTTTTTCGGTTATTTGTAATAACGCAGCTCATATTGTAAAATTCATAACTAAATAATCTGAGCTCTGTTTTAACCCATTCAAGTGTTTTAACCCATTCAAGTGCAGTGAACTCGTTAAAATGTATAGAATCCATTAAAATTGGATTCTTTTGCTGTTTCGGTAGCCTTATTGCTTGTATTTCTTGTATGCTTTGTTTGTCGTTTAGATTCTGTCAGTTTCGGTGATCCAGTTTATTTCGAAGTGGTTGCCGAGGTTTCATCAGCACAAGAGCAAGGCAAGTCATACATACAGGATTGATCATGTTGAGCCTATTTTATAAAATCCCCTGCTTTCTATTAAATTGCATTGTTTTAGAATGTCGTGTGGGATGGATGCCTATCATACTCGGCCTGTTGAATATCTTATGCTATTGATAACTTGGGTTATAATTGACTAGATGATATGTTTAGGAATGCTTAGCCATGCTTAGATCAACTAGTTCACAATGGGATTCATTATAATTTAGTCCTTAATTATATGATGATAACCAGCATGGGCTTTAGGCTAAATCTAGAGTATAACTTAACCTAGCTGACATACCATGGCAAGGGTAGAGGCAATGGTGTAGTTCGGGCCTGGATATTAATCTTTGTTGTTTCCGGATTTACCTAGGCATGAGAGGGGACTGCACGACTTGGCACAAGGAGGGGGTGAAACCTGAGGTGGGTATGTTCGATTAGGGAGGGTTATATGAAGGGTTTTGTCATGATTTCCCCCTTTGCAGTATCGTGGCAGTACTTCGAGGCATGGTAACATGTGTGGAATGAGTCTTGTGGAAAACTATTCGAATAGCCGTGCCCGCGGTTATTAGGCGGTCAACTAGCTCACCGTGATTAGTCTCACTATAATAATATGACTTGTAAAACTGGTGTAGTTCAGGTGATTTGGTTGGGCCTGTCACAATGTGGCTTTAGCGTTCGACAGTGATGATTTAATACTACTTAATTATATATATTGTTTTACTTATTTAAAATATGATTTATAAATGCTGCTTTTATTGCAAATATCCAATGAGCCATTCCTTTGAGAATATCTTGCATCATACCTTCCTGCTGGTATGACTTGTTGAGTACGGTGATTGGTACATAGTCTTGCTTTATCCCCCCCCCCGAGGCAGAGATTGGTTTAGATGGTGAGTTCTTCGAGGATTGAGCTTGTTCCGAACGTCGAGGATTGCTTGTGGTTTATGGAGGAAGCTATGCTTTTGGTCGTGAAGATTAAGTCTAATTTATTTGTTTTTTCCGTTGCGTTTGTAAGATTTATTTTATTGTTTTTGTAAGACGTGGATCTGTTTATTAAATTGTCATTTGTGTACTCTGGCTGGTCCTGGACAGGGATTTTAATACACATTCTACTTGAAATTCGAGTTAGCGAATTTCTGGGCATGACACCTCCGCACCTTTTTTTAAAAAGTAATGTTCCTCCATGTTTCTGCTACTGCTAACTAGCGTGGTAGTATAAATAGATCTAAACACTTGATCAAATGAGATCAATGGTTCAGGAGTAGCTAGCTCGTGCACTGCATGGGTTTTTGACTTGTGGGACTAGAAGATGTTAATCATGCATTTACCACACAGGTGAAACCAAAATCACACCACTAGAAAAACTATTTTTCCCAACATCATGATTTTATTTTTCCAGACGGACTACAAAAATCACCATTTACAAAAATAGCTAAAGGTTGAATAGAACTAGTCCTGTCTGCGAAAATCGATTTTCACATACATGGTTTTAAAAGGTATGCCTACAAAATAAGGGTTATTTTTATATGCGGGCGTCTTAAGACCACGCATGTGAAAATTAATTTTTGCAGGTGGAATGTAAAGACATCCGGCTGCAAAAAAGGCCTCACTCCTCCTTAGACCTCCCCCTCCATCCCCCTCTCCCCCTTCACTCCTTCCTCCCAGCAGGTGCCGGCGTGGCTCCTCCCGGGTGACGGCCACAGACAGTAGCGGAGGAGGCGGCGTGGCCCCTCCCCTCCCTCCCTCCCTCCCTCCTAGATTTGACGGAGGAGCGAGGGCACTTGCAGTGGCGGAGACCCCCCACGGGTGGCAGCCATAGACAGCAATGGAGGAGGCGGCGCGACCCCTCCCCTCCTCCTAGATCCAGCGGAGGGGGGGTGGGAGCCAGCAGAGGCGCAGACGGCCCGACCCCTCCCCTTCCTCCCTCCCTCCCAGATCCGGCAAAGGGAGGAGGGTGCTGGCAGTGGCAGAGGTGGCACGTCCCCTCCCCTCCCCTCCCCTCCCTCCCTCCTAGATTCGGCCGAAGGGGAAGGACGGTGGCGGCGGCCTCAGCAGGTGGAGGAGGAGGGCGCCGGCAGCGGAAGAGGCGGCACGACCCCTCCCCTCTCTCTTCCCCCCTCCCTCCCTCCCTCCCAGATCTAACCGGAGGCAGCGGTGCGGCTCCCCTCCTCCCTCCCTCCCAGATCCAGCAGAGGGGCGATGGTGGTGGTGTCGGCCACAGCAAGCGACGCCGGTGGCAGATGGGGGTGGTGGGCGGATTGTTTTTTTTTTGTTGTTTGCGAAGAATATTTTCGTAGGCGGGTGGTTGTTGCGCCTATGAAAATTGAGATGTCGTATGTGAAAATGATTTCTTGTAGGTGGTGTTGATCGCCGCCTACAAATGTCATGTATTTTTCGCAGGTTTTTAAGTGCAAGCGGGATAGATGGCCGCTTAGAAAAATCTATTTTACCTATTTGCAAAAATCTGTTTCCAGTAGTGTTATATTAGTGGAACCAATTTGTGGCTGAAGGGGTATTGGCTTTTTAGCTATGACGTTTTCTTTTAAATTTGGCGCCCTCTGCGGGGTATGGATTAGAGCGTAATTGAGTACACCAACACACCCTACACTCATATACCACACACACACAAGTGGTTCCCTTTGTGAACTGCTGTATACTCCCTCCGTTTCAAAATGATCATTATATAACTTTTTTGAGGTTATTACTAAATGATCATCATATTTGTGTTTATTCGTTAAATCTATTCGTTATTTATGTAT